CTTTCATCCAAAATCATAAGCATGTCGCTTAATATCGATTAACTTCCGTAACGATTTTGTTTTAAATTTCACGCATAGAATGCAGATTTCAAAAAGAACTGAAACTTATCTGAAAGTGACCACGGAACCTTATATCATCGATTCTAGTTGCAAATCAGCTATTTTAGACGATTACTTTTTAGACCTAACAAAATGAATTAGACAAAAACAGTTGTCTCTCTTAAAAATTTAACTTCCGTAACGGTAATTCAGAAAAGTTTTTGCATGAAAGATAAAGAATTATTATTTTGGGAGCGAAATGCTTCATACTTTTGTTTAATATCCTAAAACAAACTTCGATTTTAACTATTGAAGAGAATTTTAACTTTTATTGCTGGGAATTAACTTCCATAATGATTAACTTCGTAACGATAATTTTCCTGAAAATTTAAATTTAATTTAAATTCAGATTCATGCGAGACTTCATGAATCATACTTTAGCGTTCTTTACTGAACATTAGAAACGAAAAATTGGTCAAATTCAGCTTTATTTAAAAAATAATAAGACTTAATCAAGTATTAACTTCCGTAACATTACCTTAAAATCAATGGTAGCTTTAAATTGTTGTAAAAAGTTAACAATACCAGATTTGTGGACGATTCTTTGTTTTCATGTTCACTGATATGTCCTTTAGAGAATTATGATGTTCATTTTGCTATTTGAAACAATTATTTTTTTCATGTTTTATGCTCTGAATTGGTCCATTCATCGTAGAATGACTGACTTATGTATTAAAGAATAAAATTCATGTTCTGATTAATTCACTGATTATTGTTATCACTTTTATTCCCAAACCTGAAACATTATGCAGACACTGAGCTTTTTATATTTGATATTTTTATAGTAATTCTTTGTTGAAAGTTGATCCCGGGGTAAGGTTTAAGATTTTGGAAATTTCATACCCCATCTATATCAAATTCCATTTTAATTAGCTATGCACCTATATTTACAATAATAATGACATCTTTGCATGTAATCAGAAGCAGACAAATGTGAACAAAGTTATGTAGAGAATATGATTTTGGTACCTGAATACAAAAGATGTATCTAACATGCTGTTACAATCCGTAATATTACTTATCATAATCTAAGTTTACTTTGAAATAAATGACTTTTACAAGGACAGATGCAGGATTTTGCATTAAAGAGGGCACACACTTTTAGTTGGGGAGGGGTCTCCAGGTACCACCAATGTCCTTAAAGGATCAAGGACAGTGTTAGGTAGGAGGTAAAGCCCCTGAAATTCATGAGAATCAGCAATTAGAGAACCTTAAAATGACTCTAATTTGAATTTTATTAAATCCGCATATGACAGAGAAAACAATATAAATCTGAAACATTTTTTTTTTTGGTTTTAGAAGGGGCTAGTGCCAGGAGTGCCCCCACCTGAATCTGTGCATGTGCCTTTTTTATGATTAAGGTGATAGATATATGTGTGTGCTTGTATATATAGTTATTTAAACATGTTAAAAAGTAAAAAAGAGGGAAAATAATCTTTTATGCAGCACTGAACAGCACAAGATTATGACCAATAGATTACTTTCAATGTGTTCAGAAGTTCTGAACACGTAGAAAGTAATCTATTGGTCGTAATCTTGTGCTGTTTTGTTAAAATTGACTTCAGAGATGATAGTTTTTAAAAACAAATTTTGTAAAATTGTACAAGTATTTATATCGAATTTGAACAGTTCAAATTCGATATAAATACATGTACAATTTTACAAAATTTGTTTTTAAAAACTATCATCTCTGAAGTCAATTTTAACAAAACTAGATATAAATGAAACATTTCTTAAATTGTATAAGTGTTTTGTAGCAAAAAACTGCACCAAATTAATACATCTGACATCTTTTAAAATTTATACACAAGCTGTTTGTCTGGTCTTGTACTGACTACTGAATTTTTTATGTGCTATTTCACACATTTTTAGCTCACCTGAGCTGAAAGCTCAAGTGAGCTTTTCTGATCACCAGTTGTCCATCGTCTGTCCGTCTGTCTGTAAACTTTTCACATTTTCAAATTCTTCTCAAGAACCACTGGGCCAATTTTAACCAAACTTGGTACAAAGTATCCTTGGGTGAAGGGAAGTGTAAATTGTTAAAATAAAGGGCCAAGTCCCCTTACAAGAGGAGATAATCAAGAAAAGACAAAAATAGGGTGGGGTCATTAAAAAATCTTTTTCTCAAGAACCACTGGGCCAGAAAAGCTGAAACTTATGTGGAAGCATCCTGGGATAGTGTAGATTCTAAATTGTTAAAATCATGACCCCCGGGGGTAGGGCTGGGCCACAATAGGGAATCCAAGTTTTACATTGAAATATATAGGAAAAATCTTAAAAAATCTTCTTCTCAAGAACCACAGGGCCAGAAAAGCTGAAACTTATATGGAAGCATCCTGGGGTAGTGTAGATTCTAAATTGTTCAAATCATGACCCCCGGGGGGTAGGGCGGGGCCACAATAGGGAATCTAAGTTTTACATTGAAATATATATGAATAATCTTAAAAAAACTTTTTCTCAAGAACCACTGGGCCAGAAAAGCTGAAACTTATATGGAAGCATTCTGGGGTAGTGTAGATCCTAAATTGTTCAAATCATGACCCCCGGGGGTAGGGCTGGGCCACAATAGGGAATCCAAGTTTTACATTGAAATATATAGGAAAAATCTTTAAAAATCTTCTTCTCAAGAACCACAGGGCCAGAAAAGCTGAAACTTATATGGAAGCATCCTGGGGTAGTGTAGATTCTAAATTGTTCAAATCATGACCCCCGGGGGGTAGGGCGGGGCCACAATAGGGAATCTAAGTTTTACATTGAAATATATATGAATAATCTTAAAAAATCTTTTTCTCAAGAACCACTGGGCCAGAAAAGCTGAAACTTATATGGAAGCATTCTGGGGTAGTGTAGATCCTAAATTGTTCAAATCATGACCCCTGGGGGTAGGGCGGGGCCACAATAGGGAATCCAAATTTTACATTAAAATATATAAAAAAAATCTTAAAAAATCTTCTTCTCAAGAACCACTTGACCATAAAAGCTGAAACTGATATGGAAGCATCCTGGGGTAGTGTAGATTCTAAATTGTTCAAATCATGACCCCCGGGGGTAGGGCAGGGCCACAATAGGGAATCGAAGTTTTACATTGAAATACATAAGAAAAATCTTTAAAAATCTTCTTCTCAAGAACCACTGGGCCAGAAATGCTGAAACTTATATGGAAGCATCCTGGTATAGTGTAGATTCTAAATTGTTCAAATCATGACTCCTAGGGGTAGGGTGGGCCAAAGTAGGGATTCAAATTTTACATTGAAATATATAGGAAAAATATTTAAAAGCCTTTTTTTAAGAACCACTTGACCAGAAAAGCTACAACTTAAATGGAAACATCCTTGCATAGTGTAGATTCTAAATTGTTCAAATCATGACCCCCGGGGGTAGGGTGTGACACATTACATATTACAAGGGAGAAAATCTGGTGAAGAACAGCAGGGCCAAATATACTCAGGTGAGCGTTGTGGCCCATGGGCCTCTTGTTAAATTATTAAGGCCAAGATCTATTAAATGAAAGGTTCCTAGAGATTTCTTGAATTTGCAAATTGAATGTAATCTTTTGTTGATCCTTCATAACCATAGCTTATTAATTAAGGTGTATTGGGCCATAATTTTTAGGTAAACTCAGGGAAAAAACATATTTCAGACTGCCATTTTCCATGACAAATGAAGAAAATCAGGTATTAATATGGGAGTTTTCTTTTCCATCTCAGATCAAGGAACTATATATATAAATATTGCTGACAGTCTCTCAGAAAACATTTTTTTCATATCTTCTGATGAATTACCTCTACTTTAAAATGGTATTAATTAAACTAAATATAGGAATCTTGGTTACTTTTGACTTGATTTAAATTGAATTCCATGAAAATGTTTCATTTTCAACATAGTTATAATAGCCATAAAGTAAAGAAAAAAGTAAGTTTAAGTTAGTACAAAACACCCATAAAATCTATTTTAACTAATTTCTTAAAAATTACATGAGAAAAAAGAATAATATCCTTATATTGTCAATAATCAATGATCTTTGTAAGTAAAATAATAAGCTATGACATGTTTTTGTCATATTTTCTTTAAAAATTAGAGACATCCAATATATTGGTCACTTGGAAGCTTAGAATGTGTTTATGCTGTCTTAATGCAATATAACAGTCTGTTATTAAATGCAGTGTAACTTTTGATCCATAAATAGTAGAGGGCTGATATTTGGACATTTATATAAAATCTCCATTCCTTATGTAAAAAATAAAGGTCAAGGTCATATTAAGAGGTCAAAGGTCAAATATTGTGATGTCATCTACTGAATCTTTCACTTGTTTGCTATTGAAATTTTTTTTTAATTTCCAAAATATCCGAAACCATTGGTTCAATTTTCCTAATTTTGACACATTTTAAACTGTGATCCATTTCAATCAATCTGTTGATTTTTTGTAAAAATTGAAGTATACATTTTCACTTAAGAGATCTTAAAGTGTAGCATATATTTGCAAGTGAATTTTCAATTCTGGGGCTGCGTATGTTCTTGTTTTACATCATATTTTACTCAAATAAGGCACATTCTCTAGTCAAATGTCTGATTTCACAATCTTCTTACAGCCTGGGGTCTGAAAGGCCATATTTCAAACTATGTAGGCAAAAAATATGTGGTTGAATTTCTTTCATGTTACATATAAAGAGAGATTTTGTATCATAGAACAAAATATCAAAGTTTCAAAAAAAATGAATTTGAGGAAAATTTTGGCCTATATTTTGTTTATTACTTTAAATTAATTATGATGTCATAATGGATCTCACACCAAAAAGTCAGTATTTACTAGATCTTGACTGTAAGTTATACCATAGGGTTTTATGCAATGTTGTACAACGTTTACATTCATGTTGATAAACATTTTAATATAACTTTCAGGTCTCTGCAGCAATGTTATTTCACAGAGTTCTGGAACTGTACTTCCATTGCCCCTTACCTATATGTTGAAACACAGTGGAGGTATGGGATTGGACAACCAGTCATCTACAAGATCCCTCAGCACAAGTCAGGGAGGGAACCCTTATTTCAAGTAACAGCCCACTCACATCCAGACATACAGAGGCAATTTCAATGTACTACATATGAAGGCTTTGTCAAAAGTGTAAGTCCATAGGTCCAGAGGCTCAGAGAAGTTTCTGATTGAAATATGTGTCTGTTGTGTATTGGTGTATACATTCATTGTGAGTATTGTTGTCCTTGGTGTCATCTTTGTAAACTTTTCACATTCTCTTCTTCAGATCCATTTGCCAATTTCAACCAACTTAATTGGCACAAAGTATTCTTGAATAAAGGGAATTAAAGTTTTAAAAAAGTTGAAAGGAAGGGCAATGACCCCTTCCAAGGGGAAGATACTAATAATGAATAAACATGTTGGTTTAACTTCAGATCAGACATAAAAGCTCCCTTACATAGCATAGATTGGTTATCATTGCCCTGATGGGTTCGGCACTAGCCTACTACGGTAGGTCCACATGTACAGTATGAATACAATTTTTACATTTGATTTTAGATATATGAAAATCTGTCAAGAACTCCAGGGCCATGAAATGAATGATATAAAATACATGTATATACAAGCATTTTTAAGTAGTGCAGATTGAAGATTGTTCAAATCAAGACCATGGGGGAAGGGTGGACTACAATATGGGGGAAAAAAATTATGATAAAAAAGGGGCAGGGGCCAAGGTGATTCAGGTGAGCCATGGGCCCTGTGTTAGCATTTATCCTTTATTGTTCTAAATTTGACAGATATATAATTACTCAAAATGTTTAAACATATGTTAGATTTTGTCTTTCAAATATTTTCATTTCTCTCTAGATCTCTAAATGCAATAAAAATAAGAAGATATCGTATAGTTTGAGAAAAATCCATTTTTTAAGTACAGTAAAGTACTGGTACACATGTATACGGGTATATCTAATGAAAAAGTCAAAATTCACAAAACACAAATGAATTATTTTAACTGTAAATGCTTTCTATCTCTTCATGGCTTTTTAATTCAGACAATTACAAAACTAACTACCTTTAACAAATGTACGTTTGTTAATGTTCATAAACGTGACCTCATTAACTTTATGATGTCACCATAGCATATAAAAGTATCATAACACACACTATTTCAGATGCCTAAATATTCTACTCTATTTATTTAGGTATTTATGACAAAGAAGCTTTGAAATCAGTGTGGATGTGGATATTAAAACTACTTGAAGGATGAGGAAAAAGAACTCTTTCAAAGGTACATAATAAGTTGGACAAGGTTATCATGGTAATATTGTTGATTTTAAACATACATGTAAATATATGGGATGATATTGCATATATGGAGAAAGGTTCAATACATGCATTATTTAATGTATTAATCCCTTTGTCCACAAAGAAATTTTAAAATCTTTTAAGAGGTTGTTTGGATGAAATGATGGATTAAATGGCAGAATGCTTCACTTTTTGTTCATTTAAGGACATTGGCAAGGCAAGGTTTTCCAAAGAAAAAAGGTTAGATACATGTGTTTTTTCCCTTATAAAATAGTGATTGAGAGTGATCTCCCATGTAGAATTCTAATTGTATGTTACAGAGGTAAACAAAAGCACATATGCTTCCTTCAACGGTAAAATTATCTATACAGGAAGAAAGAAAAGTAGTGATGGCTTTCTTGTATATTGTGTTAGGGGACAGAGAACCAATGTCATTTACCAATTTAGCTATGCTGGGAAAGGCAAAGATGTTACAGATGCTGAAAGGTAGACCGGATGAGAACAGTTCTTAGGTCATGTGAAGAAGGAACCATTTAGTAACTATGAATAAAAATTAAAAACAAATCCATACCAATATTTTATGACAATTTGTTTCTAATGAAGTAAATTACATAATAGAAACAGTCAACCAGTCTCTTGACCATTCAATTGGAATATCACTTGGCCCTTTGCATCAAGTCAAGATTTCTTGCCTTGATGGATTAAGGCCGAGTGATGTTCTGATTGTTGACCATTATGAATAATAATATATAGATGTTAAAGGAAGTAACCTTGCCAATGTCCTTAATTCCATAAAGAACATTATGTGGAGGATGCTCAGTGTTTTTTTAATGTGATGTTGAATTTATTTCTCGAATGGGACAGCATGGCTAAAGAACCCCATGGAAAAATGAACTGCCTATATAGGCAGTTATGAAGCAGTACTTCAGCAGTTTTATGAATTTCAAGCAGTTTTCAAGCAGTTTCAGGCAGTTTGATTTTTACTGTTGTTTCATAACTGCTAATGACTGGGGAGTAAACAGTTTTCATAAGCAGTCTTCTAAGCAGTAAGCAGTTTCCTTAGCAGTATGTTTAAGCTTTACCCCTACTGGGGGAAGGAACAGTTTTGTTAGCAGTATGTAAGCAGTTTCCTTAGCAGTAAACATTCAATTTGATTGGGATCAAGATAAATTCCAATGTTGGGCTCAATGATCAATAAATATACACAAAAGGAACCAAACAACTGACTGCCAAAATTGAATTTTGGCTGCCATGTTGTGTAGTTGGACAAAAGGAAATAGAGTCATGAAAAGGGGGCCTGCTGGCCACAAAGTTTTAATTGAAATTATGATGCAGACATATAATATCTGGTAGGTACACTATATTTTATAAGTGCTCTTAAATAAGAGAGGTAATTAACAATTAATTTGTACTGCTTGAATCATCCCAATTTCAATATGGTATATGTCTCATCTATTATATTTCCAGTGCACCTTTTTAGAATCACTGACTCAATTCCATTTAACTACAATAAGCTGAAAATCTTTTTTATTTATCCAAAACTAATGTTTTAGAAAAAAAAATGTACCTTTTTTATCTATATTAATTGATATTGAAATTGTCGATGTAGCTTACAAGTACATGGATTAATTAATTTTCATAATGTGGATTGTTTTAACATTTGTAGTATTATGAGTTATATAAATTGTGTGTTTAAAATTGGCCCAATTAATGGATTATATTTCTGTTAAAAATTACAGTTTTCAGGAAATATGTGCATGTCCTCAAAATGAGATTGCTTCACAGCTAGTTAATTATCAGTACATATATTAAGCAGTTGTCTAACAGTTAACTAAGCAGTACAAAAACAGAAGCTTTACAGTTTAATAAGCAGTACCTAAACAGTTATATCTAAGGGAGCAACCAGTCCTGAAAAATCTTACCAAAAAAACTGCTGATGAACTGCCTATGAACTGCTAACGAACTGCCCAAAACTGCCTAACAACTGTTAAGGCTTAGAAAACTGCCTATTTTATTCAAAGGTTTATTGTGGGCCCAACATGCCATAAGCAGTGCAGAGAAGGTTTAGAAACTGCTAAGATGGTTCAACTGTTAAGGTTAAGGAACTGCTAAATAACTGCCTTCCACTTTGCCATGGGACATTTAAGTTTTGAATGAGATCTGCATATTTCTTCAAGAATTAAGTGCATGATAATTAGTGAATTTGAAGAACTCCAACAATATCCAGAACTTACAAATGTTTTTGATTGCTGATTCTTGTTAATATGTACAGTCATATTTGCCTCAAACCTAAGGGCAATGGATGAGGTCATAAATCATCCAACTTGAATTGAAAACAATATGCAGACAATGTCAAATCAGTATATAGGGGGTGGATATATATATGATTTGTGAATTAAATGTGGAATTCCTGCCATTTCTTGGTCTTTTGGTTTAAATTTATGGTCATATTTCATCTTCATTTGACATGTCACAGATGAGCATCATGGTCCATAGGCCTATAGTCAATCATTTAACACAAATTATTGTGAAATTATTAAGCTACTAGATTTGAGTAATACAAGAACAGACTGATGTGATACATGTGTAATCTTTGAATTGGTAATGATTTTGTTTGTTTTTTTTTAAATCTAGATCATGCATTTATGAAAGAAGACAGCATCAGCACTGCCTTAAGATTCCAGTTGAGACCTTTCTTTGTGTACACAGTCAGAAGATAAAAAAAGAAGAAGACAATCACAGAATGAAACACATGCTAGCAGATCTTTCTGATGTAAATATGAATAATAGAAGTTTATAATCCTTTCTTTTTTTCTGTCATTGAAATACTGCAGTGATAAACTACAATTTTACAACAAAAATTTTTAACATGAAGATTGTAGCTTATATGGCTTTTTATTGAATTATCTCCCTTGACTACAGATTCTTAATCAGTATTATTTCAGAGAGTGGGAGAGGTTTTGTTCTGAATTCTGCCGATTTGAATTCAAGCATAGTATATGACCTTAATACAAGTATATATCACAAATGAAATTAATTGCTACTATCAAACTATTTACATATATTGTACACAAATTATTGGTCTTCCCAGAGTTATTTCCCTCGTTCACAGTGGAAAAATATCTTTTAGTATCAATGACACGTATGACTGTTTTGCTAAAAGCTTAAGAACATAAAATTTATATATATGTTAACTTTCCTCATTGTGTTAAACATCTGTCAATCTTCTGTACAAGTATTCAATTATGTTGAAATAAACTAAGTCATTATATTAAACAGTGTTTTTAAATCATGTATATTAAACCCTGTAATCATTGGAGCTGTGGTCAGTGTTTTGCCAAAACAGAGGTTAAAAATATTTTACAGAGTGGAAAAAATGGGTAATAAAATTTTATATGCATGGTAATATTTAGAAAACATGTTTTTGGATCTTTGTCCAGGAATGACATAAGTTTAATGGTTGTAGAAGGAACCCTACATGTTTATATTCTAGATTTTTAAGTGTTAAAACAACCCTGGGTTCTATGGTAAAAACACATACAATAAGGATTCCTTTTAATAGATATGTGAAGAATTTTAGCTCACCTTGACCTGGGGGAGGTCATGTGTCAGTTTGGTCAACTGACACCTACATGTAACAGCCAGATTTAAAAGGGGCAGACTAGAATAGTATGGTATGTTATTGCAAAATCTGACAACCCCCACCCTCCAGATTTAAAGCTGTTTTGTGTGTTTTGCAGAAATACTGTGCCTAAAGAACACCATTCCTTTGGGATAAGATTTTGTTTTCTTCTTGAAATGTTCATTTGATACTTTTTTCAGTACAAACACCAATATTTTTCAAATCCACAGATATACCATTGAAATGACAATTAAGTATATTTTGGAAATCTAGAAAAAGCTTGTAGGGGTTCTAATGACCCCTCCCCTTCTCTACCTCCCTGAAGAATTATAAAGTTTGCTAAAAAAATAAATACTAGGCATAAATTATAGTTATTTTATAGTTATTTTTGGGGTTATACTTGATTTTAAGCCCCTGTTTTTACCACTTTATAATTCTTCCTAGGGTGTGTGTGTATGTACCCCCCCCCCCCCCCAAATCCTTTTGGGGGAAGAATTCCAGGATCCGGCAAAAATATCGGAAAGGGGGATGGATGGGTCCCCCTCCCTCCAATAAAAAGAAGTTGGAAAGTTAAAAAAAAAAGAAATCATGTAAAAACTAAAAAAAAGTATTTGTGGGGAGAGGGCACTTTTCAGGAACAAGCTGCTTTAGTTTCCTGTGTGTTTACGACTTTTCTAACCAACTTGCCATGTGTAGAGGACCATGGTTCCGAGGAGGATCCAAGTCATATAAGTTACAGGTTCTTTATTATTAAATGTAATATATAGCTATGAACATCCCAGGGACCTCCACCCTCCCCCACACACACATCCATGCCTGGAAGGGGTTTTCAGATATTGGAACCCTACTACAGGCCCGTAGAATGCGGGGGGGGGGGGGGCACTTTTTTTTTTCCTTGTCAGATTTTTTGGAAGTTGCCCCCACCCACTTTTGAAACCGTTGCTAGGGGCCTGTACTATTAGAAATTCCTGAAACATGATGAGGGAAAAATTGTTTTATAACATGCATAAGTTTGATGTATATTTCTCAAGGAATTAAATAATATTCATTACAGTAGAAAATGCAAATGAATATATAGAATGTTGAAAGTCAGATGAAGTATAATCTGTTAATATATTGAAATGATGACAATGACTTTTGCGTGGATCTGCTTTGAAAACTGGATGAAATCGTTTACATAGTTACACATGTATATATACAGGACTTTGGTATGTCTTGAGTCATGAGTTTTATACAGAAAACAGACTATAGGTGTGAAGGCACTCCTTTACTGCGAACCTAATGACCTTTGACTAGTTCAAGAAAAACCACGTGATGTAAATTTAAATAACAATAACATTGGTAGGGGTGTCTAAGAAATAATATGATTTATCCGTGTAAACAACAACATGGAAAGTTCCACTAATTACAGTACCTACGATGTTTTCTTGACTATACAACTCAATTTAGTATACATTATATTTAATTCAGTACGTATTACAATTACATGGAATAGAACTATTTAAATATCCGCTTTCAAAAAAAATAAAGAAGAAATTATTACGAAAGAATTTCATAAAATAATATAGAAAATGTTGTGAAATTGGTGTAAAGGATAGTTGTTAAACATTAATTCAATCTCTGGTACCGTATGTATGAGTTAAGTTGTCCGTCAAAAAGGCTATATATTATGTATCTCCCGCTCGTTTTGATCATTATATTTGAACTTTATGGTCTACTTCACAGGTCAACTTGAATATAAAAATGGCTGCTCTCAGCGGAAATGATGACCGGGAATAACGATGTTTCGTAATCGGTAAATTCCGTAAGGAATAAAAGAATGATTCTGATGATTAAATTGAACATCGTTTTTTTCTAACATAATTTTAGGTTTGTTCACTTGATTCAAGATATTTAAAACCATGTAAATATGTTTTCTCTAACTGTTCCGATCTCAACATCGGTAATTTTCGTATATATGACACAATATGATTGGTCAGATTTTAAAACTCTTCCGTACTGTTCTCTGATTAGTCAACAATATTTCACCCACGCCATTTTGAAAATTCTTCCCGGGACGTGTTGAGAAAGCTGGAGGTGATTTTGAATAATCTAGCATTTGCTCACGAGTAAAATGGATCGAAAAACAGAAGTTCAGCATAATCATGGTAAACAGGATCATATATATGAACCAAGGAAAGCGAATACATAAGGAGACTGACGTTTTTTAGGCATCATATCAGGACTTTTCTGGTATAAACAACATCAGTTGCGGTAAGATTATGTATATTTTAGCACATTAAAGTTTTACTTTTTTAAATAATAACTTAGTACAAAGATAGAGGATCAAAGAATGCCTTTTTTTACCCATTTTGTAGTATTGTAGAAAGATAAAATAGTACGGTTATTGGCCATGTGGGGAACAAGGGTTTTTGTGATAAATTCTGATTGGGGAGGGAGGGGTGAAAGATAGGGGTAATTTTCAAGCCTTCGGCTTCCTAGTTCTAATTCATTCCAATTTTTTCAAGTTTACCAGAAACAAATTATTTATTTTCCCTTCAAAAACAATTCTGTAATTTCTATAAACTCAAATTTTTTCGTTGGGGGGGGGGGGGGGTAGGTTGGGTTCGGGGAGGGGGCAGTTCATTTAAATAACATTGGGGCACACATTTTGTTTACTCTTTCAACATTTTCAAGGACAGATTGTTTATTACAAATATTTTTTAAAAAATATTTTATAAATCAGCCCCCCCCCCCTTTTCTTCTCCAGATTGTCAAATCAAATGGTTGTCCCCTAAGAAACCCTAGATTAAAGAAAGGTAATTTCAATGGTACAATTGTATGGAATTTGGTGAACTCCACTGGATCTTTTGGAATTTCAGTTTATAATTATTATTAATTTTAGTCAGCAGAACATTGAAGAAAAGCTGATTAGTCATGGAGGAAGAAGATACCTCTCAAGAAAGTATTGCAGGTGTGTGAGCTAAACAAAATCTATAGAGAATTATTTTGGATGTGAAAATGTGTGTTTTGTTGAGGTAATGGTTCATTAAATTTAATTATTATATCATTCTGTTCTATATTTCACAGTGATGAAGTCAGATGAGATGACAGGTTGTGTGATTTGAAGATGGACTTCTGCAACAAAGTAAACACTCCTCTACTTTTTTCCATGCAAAAGAAACAGCAAAGCAGAGAGAAGATTGAAACATTTTGTAAAAGTACAAAGAAAACAGGATTAGTTAAACTTGTGAAAAAGATCAAGACTATTGAAGAGCAGATTATATGTAAAAAGAAAGATAAGACTACAATTGGTAGCTGAATCAGTAGCCTGGCCACATTAATTACTTTTTAATTACCGTAATTTTTGGGGTATATGTCGATGGGGTATATAGGTCGAAAGGCTCATTTTCAGCCGTAATTATAAAAAAAATCCTTTGATAGGACGAACTCGGAAGATAGGACGAGGTTTTGTTTATCGATTTTCTAGAGATTCTTACATAGATACTACGCATCAGAACATGTAAACCTCTTTAACTTAACCTGTGATATTAACGTATTGATAAAATAAACAGGTATTTTTATGAGTACAGCATTTTAATAGTGTTTTTTTTACAAACATAGTTAAAGCTTCCTTGAATTGTGAAATAACGTATTTTCTCCAACTTGCCTGTTCAATGCTGTCGTAGTTTGACTCTGTCGTTAAACACATAAATACGGTAGTATACAACAGCTATAATTAGGGAAATACCCGAAATAAAACAATAATCATTTCCATTTTAGAACATCGTGGACACATTCTTTTATTCCGACATTATTTACCGGGGTACAATATTAACTTTGATGACCGCCATTTTTATATTTCTTGTCCAGTGATTTGCTAAAACACGCAATAGACTATTACATGTAACAGTGAGCAATTGAAATTAATCATATCAACATGCTATAATTTTGCTTGAGATATTGTTGTAAAAAATAAAGTACATTCATAATTTAACAGTCATCATGAATTTCACAGTTTTGTTTGTTCAATGATGTATAGCACTAATACCCTTGTAACGGCACGTGGATCTGGTAGTCATGCCCTGCAGGTGTTTTAACCAACACAGGTGTTAACACCTTTGTGTACACAGTGCATATCCCTTTATCTGTCCGACAATTAAAATTCTATTAGAAGCCAATCTTTGTATAATTCAGTGTACCCCTTTGGATGTAAAACAAAATAGTTATGACAAGCGGTATATTTGGTAAATATAATTAGGTATTCACTGGCAACAATTTATTTCATGCATTTTACATTTAAATAAATATCACAAGAAAATGAAAAAATATTTAGGTATACTATTTCAATTAATCGTTACAAATAAATGGTAAAAAAAAGATTACAGTTGCGATTGTGAAAACTCTTCCGTATTTTAAACTTTGATACGGTTGCGGTTTTATTTTTAGTAAACGATTGCGACTTCCAACTTAACAAGATGGACACAGCATGTTGTAAATATACTTTGAGACATTATTTTCTAGATGATATTTTAAGTTCATTTGTACATCGACGGATATTTAATGGAACATATTTTGTAAGAAATCAATGGAATTAATATTTAATTCTTCATTGTTTATTTTTTTTCTCGGTAAAATAATTTTAAACTAGAA